TCCACAAGTTTCAATTTATTCACAGCATGTGTCCATCTTCTCTTTTTTACGATAGTCACTTAACAGACTATAAAGTGATGTTTCAATGTGTTTTTTATCTGCATTTACCTCATAATAATGATTTTGAACACCTCCTAATGTGTTTGTTGCCCATTTATGCATTGTCTTTGAATAAATGTTTCTTGAAGTACTTTACCTATTTTTAAGCTGTTACATATTTTGTAACTTGCCAGTCAGATATTTAATTCATATTATTTTGACTGGCTTTTTAATCTTCTTGACATCTATTTTAATACATGAGATTGTTAATTTTAATGAGTCCCAATTTGCTTTTTCTTTTGTAGCTTATACTTCTGGTGTCATATCTAATAATCCATAGTCAACTTCAAGGTCATGTAGCTCCTATATTTAGGTCAATTCATTTGATATAGTTCTTGCATTTGTTGAGAAGTACAAATTTAATTTCATATGGCCATCAAGTTATCCCATCATCATTCTTTGAACATTGTATTGTCTTGATTCATTGTTGACATCAGTTGACAATAGATGTATTATTTTAGTTGTTTTGAAGTTCTCAATTTTTAAAAATTTTAATAATTTTATTACTAACTATACAATTATGCTGATGTCTTTTTAAGCTTTCAGCTATTATTGCTTATTTTCTTTTTAAAAATTTATTACAACGTATTCACTTTATATCCCAGATGTATCCCCCTTCTTTAGCCCTCCCAATCCCACTCTCCCTTCCTATTGTCCTTCCATGCCCCTTCCTAAGTCCACTAATAGGGAAAGTCCTCCTCTCCTTCTAGCTGACCCTAGCCTATCAGGTCTCATCAGGACTGGTTGTTTGGGGAAATCCATAGGACCCTTTGGCTAACAACTCAAATGGCTATCACCCAGTCCCAGTTCTAGAAGCTTCATTTGGTGACAAAACATGGCAATTTGGGACTCCATGTCCCTCATTATTTCAGAATTTATTAGGATTGCCTTCATCTGTTTAATGAGGTTTCCAGTGTGCTAGATTTCCATTGCACCCCTCAAATGCCCAGTTTTTGATTATCACTTTTATGCCATCTGTTTGTGTATTGTCCTAATATCCTTATCCCATTATCAAGATTTTGATTATTAGCTTTGTACTAAGTTTTTAAATGAGATGTAGGACTCACCCAACCTTTTTTCCTCCAGGTAAATGTTAGCTATTCAGGGCCACTCACATTGCTGTATGTATTTCAGAATCAGATTTTTCATTTTTAAATAAAAGGCCAGTTTACTAAGGACTGTTTAGACTATGGATTTAATTGAGAAATACTCTTTTTGTAACATTCTTAAAATTCGTATTTTATGAACACAGATATATTCTAAACACATTTATTAAGCGTGCCTTTTAATTTTTAGGTGTTCTTTTAAAAATTAGCAATATCTCTCATTTTCAACATAAAGTATTGGTTCATCTATTTGGTTAAATTTAACAGATGTGTTTTACTTTCTGAATTATAAATAGAATTGTTTTTTAAAATTTCATTTTATGTGATTTATTGTTAGATTTGTGTGATTTATATGTTGTATGTTAGATTTTCATATGTTAATTTTCTAGTATGCATTTTTCTTTGTTCTCTGAGTAGTATTGGGTAGATGTTTTATCGGCTGACATACAACAGTGGCATCATGTGCAGAGGGCAGGGCTGCTTCTTTCTTGGCTGTGTAGGTATCTTTTATTTCTTTTTGCTTTTTGCTCTGGGTAAAGTCTGGGGAGCAATATGAACAGCAGTATTGAAAGCCAACATCTTTGTCTTGCCCCTAGTCTTAGAGGGACTTCCCCATTGAGTATGATATTAGCTGTGGGTGTTTCTCAAGTATTTTCACTAGTGGCAGTTTAAATTCTCAGATCATAGTCTTCCTTATTTGTTCTTCCTGATTGATTCATTTGATCTTTCCTAATGTCTCTAGATAAGCTTCAGCTCTTTCAAAGATCTCACTTTATTGAGAAACCTCCATAGTGGGCAGCCCTCCTCCTGGACCCTTTATTACAGGAATGGACCCTAAAAGCTTCTCTTTTAGTCATTTTGTCACCCCATGTTTTTTAATTTTAATTTTATTTTTATTAATTACCATTTGTTCACTTTGGATCCCAGCTGTAGCCCCCTTCCCCATCTCCTCCCAACCCCACCTCCCTTCTTCTCCTATGCCCCTCTCTCATATTTTTATTATATTTGTATCATCCATAAACCTCTACAGATGTTTAGTTTGTGAAAGTAGCTTCTACTAAACCTTTAGGTATATTTTCCTGACTGGATGCATCCTAGATCATGTGGAGTTAAGGATGCTATTACTGCTGTGTCTCTGACATAATAGGCCATGTCTTGGCAACCAGCTAATTTATCTCATTTGCATGGAAATCATCTGAGTTGAGGTCACCATTTTATCTTGTTTAAATGATGGTAAAAATGTTCTAAAAGTTAGATGTCAGTGTTTGTTTATTCACAATCTTATCTCTACGGCACAGCCAGAAACAAATGCCCCACTTCACATCCATGTGGGCAGGAGTAACAAGGGTTTCTGATAATATGCGATAATCTCACTGAGTGCTCTGACGTCACAGTTGGTGGATTCAGTGGCTCAATGATTATAGATGCAAGTTTGTTCCCATATTCTGACAATTGTCCTCAGACTGATCTTCAACATCATTATCTAGGAAAGTGTAGTAACCATGCAACATTTTTGTTTCTCATTCACATCAAGTGAGGGAGGGGAGGAAAGAAAAAGCCTTTCTTCTAGTATAGAATGTAAATAATCTCCTGCACTCTGATTGGGTCATCTCAGACTCTGGCTGTCTTTACCAAACACTCAAATCAACCATGTAGAATAACTTAGATTCATCATATTTTGGTTTAAAGAAAGGAATGGACACTCAAAGAAAGCCAAATTTCCAAAGAATCATGAAAAGAAAGTTGGTGACAGTTGCCCTTCTACAAACTTAGAGCTACTATCCAAAGTCTGTAAGAGCAAACATAACCTTACCCCATTACCTATAAAAGGCCACCTCCCATCATTTCCTGTCTATTTCCCCTCTAGTATCCATAGCTATAACAACACTGAAAATTGTCAGCTGCTGGCTTGGTGCACCTGGTGTCCTGTCTGCCTGAGTTGCTCACTGCTGCTCTTGACCTCAGTGCTCACATGGTCAATGTTCCTGGGTCTACAGGATTCATTACACATGTGGGAAGATTTTTCCCCAGTCACCCTCCTTACAGGCAGCATCCACAGGGTTGCCATGCTGGGTATTTGGTCTTCTGAACACAATCACGAACTTCTTTCTTCATAACACGTAAGGCATTTTGCAAATAAGTATTTATTTTTAAGTTTGTTCAATGTTTTACTACCTGGATCAGGGATTCCTTAGACTGCAAAACACTTCTCTATTATAGTCACATACACTTCCTGGTCACATGATCACCCTACCCATACTCTGAACTTACTTCATTTCCTGAACATGTTCCATGTGGATAAATCTTTTTTCCTCTCACTTTATATGAAACATTCTCCAAATCTGTTAGAATGAACTGTTCCCTCTTTTTATGATCATAAATTCAAATAGAATAATTTACATGGTTGAAATAAAGGTAAAAAGCAATATTGCCTTTTGAACTTAGTGTGTGATTTAATATAAAATACCAGTGTGTATCAAACACTCAACATGAGCATGTGTTGGGGGGAATGTTTTCAGAGAACATGAAGTTCACATTGAAAGTGGGAACTGACCTTATTTATAATGTTCACATTGTATCCTGGCTCTGCAAATGGGACCGAGTGCAACACAATTCTTCTTCTTATAAAGGTTTAACTTTGATGTTGTCATGTTGAAATGCTCCTCACAGGGTTTTTAGAATTAGAATCACTATTTTTACTTTAATTGTATTAGTTATTCATATTATAATTGTGTATACGTGTGTGTGTGTGTGTGTGTGTGTGTGTGTGTGTGTGTGTGTAAGATGTGTGGGTCCCTGTGCCATGGTCCACCTATGCTGGTCCAAGCATAACCTTGTGCGTAACTTGTGGAGTTATTTCTACCCTCCTACCTTTAGGTGTGTTCTAGGGGATCTGACCCAGGTCACTAGGCCTGTGTAGCAAGCATTTTCCTGGCTGGCCCATCTTGCCGTAGCCCTGATGTGTTTTTATGGAAGAAAGAGAAAAATGATGAGTCTTGGAAATGAATTCCGTTCTGATAGTGTATCACAGTTATATGAGGTGTAACCCCTGAGGAGATTTGGCTGGGATATCTAATCTCTCAGTACTTCATACTTAACTTTAAAAAGTGGAAAAATCATCAGATATAGTGGTATATTTGCATGTGTCCTGGATGACCATCCTTTTGTAGCTAGAGATCCATTCTTCTTTATGTCTATACTCAAGTCTAGCCAGGAGGTGCAAACGGAAGGCCACACCTCTGTGGCTGTCTGCTATCCAGTCTCCTCCCATCGACTCTAATTTTCATCCCCATTTCACTTTCTTAGCAAGGAGTTCCTAGACCTGCCTATATCAAAAGAGGTTGACCCTCCTGCTTTGCTTCATTTCTCCTCAGATATTTACCACCTTCAACTCACTACATCTGGGACACCTTTAGAGCTGTGTCAGTCTCTTCCTGATATAATGGCATAGCATTTTACTTTTAAGATGCATTTTCATATCTCTTTAATGCACAGAGCTGTTTGGCACAGAGGACACACTCAGAAAACATTGTCAAATGAAAGAATCGTTCTTGAAAATTATTTTTTGAAAGTAAACTGATTATTCAACAGAGAAATAACTGCAGTTTATTCATTCCTGTATGAGAGCAAAGCTGCCTTTGAAGCTAAAACTTCTATCCTGTGCTCATACTTCAGAGAAAAAAAATGCAGCTGATAATATCTGAGAGGAAGGAAACAGTGCTTCATGCTGAGTTGTGAATATAACACTATACACATTGTTTTCATTTTTTTTTTTTCCATACAGGCCACCCTCCTGAACTGTTTCCAGAGATGGCTTATCTTACTTTGCTTTTGGCTATTCTTCACGTGCACAAAGGTAAAGACAGTACTATAAGTTCAGTTAAAGTTTGCTTCGTTTTTGGTGTGTGAATGTAACATGCGCAGGATTTCTTAGATAATTTCTCACTTGTTCAGAAACACTAAAAATTACAAAAGCCAATTTTGTAGTTGAAATTGTCAGTCTTCACCATGAACTTGTACTATTTGTTGTCTTAGGAAATTTATTTATTTGGTTTTGTCATTATTGGATCTAACTCAATTTATGTGATGTATATTTTAGTGCTATGTGAAGAGACATTTTGGGACACAACTGTTCAGCTTTCTGAGACTATGACTCTGGAATGTGTGTTTCCGTTGACGGATAACTTAACCCAGGTGGAGTGGACCAAGATCAGTGGCACAGAGACTGTGACCATAGCTGTTTACAACCCTAGCCATAGTTTGTTTATAGAGCATAACTACCTCGGCAGAGTGTACTTTCTAAACTCAACGGCGGGGTTCCGCAATATGAGCCTTTCCTTTTACAATGCCTCTGAAGCAGATGTTGGCACTTACTCCTGCTTGTTTCATTCTTTCCCAAGTGGACCTTGGGAGAAGAAGATAAAGGTGGTCCAGTCAGGTAAGGAAAAATCTTTATTTTTCTTTTGTCTGCCTACAATGATTAGTTATAAGAAACCCAGCCCAAAGCTTAAAACACTATTCTGTTCTTTTTCCAGTTTCATTTCTAGATTCTTTGATGTTATTTTTCCTCAGAGAGTAACATTGTAAACCAATCTTATTTTTCTTAATTGCTCTCATTCTGAGTGGAAGCATCCCTCATGTTTCAGTGATGTGGGAGGAAGCAAAGATTTACATAATCTTTAGGACGACCTACGACTATATCCAAATAATGTCAATATGTATTTTCAGAGCCAGTGCATTCTCTCACGGCTCATGTCAGCAATGCGGGTGCTGTGTCCTTTTGCTGAGCAGTTGTTCCTGGTTGTTTCAGCACCTGCGTTTTTATAATCTTTTCTGCATAATGTAATCTGAGTTTATTAGCAAATTATGAGGAAAGTTTAAGACAGAATTCATCTTCAGCCCATATACTTCCTTTAGAAACTCAGATATTGTGTCAGGAAGAAAATAATGATTTCTGCTAAAAGCACAGTGACAAAGCTTTGATTCTCTTCACATGGGCACGTGGACTGGGCATGATACTGCAAGGAAGTCTGGCTTTACAGACTTCCTATGCTCGTCATAGATATTGACTTCCGTTCTTCACTAGTGACTCTCTATGACTGAGAAATCTCCCTTTCAGTGCCTTTCACAGATCTCCTCACTCCTCCCCACTCTCCACTTGGACATGGATGCTACCTTCACAATATACCCATAAGGTAATGCTGTGCTCAGAAAAGTCTTCTGGCCTTTCTAAGGCCTCCAGCTTAGTATATGTCCCATGGGATAACACCATAGTTGGGAGTTAAGTGATATCTAAGAATATTTGAGCCTCTAGGCCTTACAACGATGAGAGTGAACACTTCATATGTATCTATAGAGCTCCTTTGTGCTCTTTCCCCCTCCTCCTTTCCTTAGTCTTTCAGCAGAGACTTGAGCTAGTCAGAGATCTTATTCTGGATCAGTGATACTATTAGTGGAAAGACCTTTAAAACTATTTGTTATCTTTAAAATAAAGATTCTTAATTACTAATAAAGTTAAATTGATAAATTACCCTGATTATTTTTCCCAATTTATGGTAAAATATACTGAGGTGACTTAGGTGATAACATTTCAAAACAGGTCTTTGATAACAGAGTTTGTGGTAGAAGTCTTGGAAACACATTGCTCACCTTGTGTCTCTGGCCTTAGTAGTCAGTGAAATAAAATACATTTCTAGTTAAATAACCCCCTACTTGCCTTAGAGTGATTCACTCCCATATTCTAACCAACTTTCACTAGATACCCACTTTGTATAAAGTAATCAAATGTCTATTATAGTATGTTTGAATGCTCAACCACTGATGGGGGCAGGAAAGAACTGAAGGAAGTGGGAAGAAGAGACAGAGACAGAGAGATATAGAAGCTGTCACATGCTCAGCAACAGAGATGAGTATCACACCTATTTTGGAATATGATACATTAGCTGGCTAGAGAATCACATATTCTATGATATAATAATTCTGCTGTTTGATATTCTAGAAATTTCTCACATAAATCAGAAACCCCCAACCATTTTTTATAGCAACAGTGATGATAGGAGCAATATTTTGAAACCATCCAGAAGTTCATCAAGAGTAGGATAGGCACATATGCAGGGCTCAGCCATGCAGCAGGAAATGGCATCCTGAGAAAAGAGGAATCGCCACTGTGCCTGCCAACAGAGATGAGTGTCACCAAAATCACATTGAAGGATGTAAGCATACCGTAGATGACTTTGGGTGTGGTTCCTGTCGTTTAGATGTATATGCACGAAAGTCTGAACAGAACACGATTGACTGACATATAAACAACAATCATAACAACAAAATAAGGCTACAGGATCAAGAAGCTCTAAAGCATGATCAAGAACACAGAATCAGGAATGAACACCAGTGTTCAGTGTTCATCATCATAGCTATGCTCATAAACAAATGTTTTATTTATTATTTCTCAAAAACTGTAACATAACATTTATTTCAAACATTGCAAAGTTTCTAGAAATATGGTGAAAATATTTCACTTTAAATTTTGAGCTGTTCAAAATACATACCTACTTAAGGTAAGCACTAAATTTCCACTCTTATTTGGCCTGAAGGTTAGAAAGAAGGAAGCTTCAAGAATACACCCATTTTTTTATGATCTGAAAACTGGAAGATATTAGGTTTAGTTTAAAATGACAGAGAATTAGGAGACCAGATTGGGCTTATAAGAAAGAAAGTGTTTCTGACACCCCAAGTTGTAACACAGCCTCTGAGCACCCATCACTCAATATGACGGAACAGTAGAGCAAAGAAGCATTTCATGACTGAATATACCAGCTTTGAAGCGATTTTATCACCCAGCATATGAAAAAGATAGTTAACAAAGTATCAGTGAGTAGATGCAAAAACTAAGGCCATAGTTTGGAGAAGGATAAAACTGAAGTGTGTGAGGGCATTTATGTGCAGACATGGAAGTTAAGGGGAAAGGAGGGAGAGAGACAGGTATGCAGGGAAGAATGAAGCAGATGGATCCGTGGTGTGGGAGCCACAGTTGTAGGGTTACCGTTCTTGCTCTGTGTAGGCACGTGGTTGGCTGCACCATGTGACTGTGCTGTTCTTACTCCAGTATGTGGTCATCTCAGGCTGGACACTGAGTTCATTCTTCTTGGGTAGGACAAGGTCATCCAAGTCTTTCATACTCCTTTCACGGTTTCTTATTCTCTCTCCTTGCTAGTCTAGCACTCTTTGCCCAGGTGCCAGCAGCTGACACATCAGCTAAATTGTCCATGCAAGTTTATTGCTGGTTAGTAGTGCCCAGAGATTCCTTTAACCATAGGGGCTCCAGAGTGGGTAGCAGTTCGGAGGAGTTATCTTTATGTCAGGCTTCAAAGATGGAAATGGAATAGTGTACTAGATCCATAAACAGATTTGTTGATATGGGAAATTGAACTCATATATTAACTCATCCACCAAATCTTTATTAAGAATCTATAACCTTCTAGGTAATGTTCAGTGATTTGGAAGATAGAAAGCCATGGGCCATAGCTCTAGATGTAGTTTATCCTCGTTTACAAGTCATAGCTTGGCTTATTTCAATAGGTGGTCTTTCAGCTGTCTTTTATAATCTGTATTAATAATGTCAGCACACTTTTATTTCAGCTTTTGTTTTATTTATCCAGACTTAACAAAAAGAAAAATGCATAAAAAGACTCTACCTTGTGTAGCACTGACAGGTGCAAAGTATTGAAGGTGAAGACTTGGTCTGAAAGGCCAAGGCATTCTGAATGTCAAAGGACATTCTAAAGCTGGTACAGGAGCCACTAAGAAAGGATCTCTCACAGACTTTTGCTACAAAGGTTGCTGAAATTGCTCAGGTCAGATCTTTATCTGTATTCTTTTAACTCTCAAAGGTCGAGTAAATCCACACTCCTTTCATTGGTCCTTACTGCAGCTACTTTTTACCCAGTCTGAAAGAAGCAGCCACAAAATCTGGAACGCATTTCCTCTATAGCGCAGGTGTTAGGGGGTTGGGTTGTGTGGGTGCTGGTATGTGGTGGGCAAGGCCTCCTGCAGGTGAAGGGGGGACACTGCTCAGCCTTCGGTATCTATCAGCATCACCACAGAACACATCCAGCCCACAGGTCAGGGCTACCAAGACTGTCTAGACTTCATTATTGTTTAAAATGTTCTCATTAAAGGTCAAAATCTACGGAGAGCATGCATTGATCTCTGTAGAATTAGTGCATAGATTAAAAAATGACCATTACAGAAATTTACCCATAAACTAGTTACAGTGCTGAAGACAGTAAAGGTTTTGAAGCTGCTAACAATTTTAAGACCGTCAACTCAATTCGTCTGGGATCAATGCGAGTGACTCCCTGGGGTGACATCTCCCATGTTTACGTTAGAATAGTTTTAATTAAACGACTTGGCTGATGGGGCTGCTGTCACTTGCCTAGAAAGATTGTTCACAATCCAACAAATCCTAATGTGAGGATAGTTCTCCCTATTTCAGCGACTCAGCCAACCTACATCTTCAAAATCACAGTCTTGCTCATATCTGCTCATGGTCCACAGGATGAGGGCACAGGGCAGTGTCTAGAGGAAGGATCACCCTCTGTAGGATGTAGGTATAGAAAAGATGACGTCCCACAGGACAGTGTCAAGAGAAAGACCTGTGTTCACTAGGAGAGGGATATAGGAAAGTGTTTAAGGAGACAGAGATAACATGCCATTTTCTATGTACTAACACTTGACATAGACATGGGTGACATACCTTTGAATGCAGCAAGGCTGAAGATGGTGGTCAGTAAGAATAAATATGGGCATGAGCTCTGTGTTCAAACGTTCAAATTAATCGTCAGCATGCTTACAGAAGTTCACATTCTCATTTTGCTGACTGCTTTCCAGCACAAACTTGTGCTATTTCTTGGGTGTAGAATGAAATTTATTCTGCTACCAAAATTAACATCTCAGAATGTGTTGGTGAAGATGTGTGTGTGTGGTCTATGAATATAGTGTAATTTTCTTTTTTAGTTGAAAATAGATTCTTCTCTTGTACACTATATTCCAACCACAATTTCCCTTTCTCCATTCCTCCCAGCCTCTCCCCACCGCCCTATCGCTCAGATCCATTCTTCCCCCATTTCCCACCAAAAAGGAGCAGGAATCCAAGAGACAACAACCAAACATAATAAAACAAGACAACTGCCTTCATATTGAGGCTGGACAAGGCAAGTCAACAGGAGGAAAAGAATCCCAAGAGCATGAAAACGTGTCAGAGACAAACCTGTTTCCACTGTTAAGAGTCCCACAAACCACCAAATTACAGCCACAGCATGTATACAGAGGACCTGGTGCAGACCTATGCGAGCCTGCCTCTTCCTGCTTCAGTCTCTGTGAGCCCACACGAGCTCTGTCAAGTTGATTCCGTGGGCCACGGTGTGCTCCATGCCCTCT